ATGAAAAATGGGGCCGTTTTTTGCTCAATTTTACCCCCCCCCCCCAAGAGCACTCTGCAAGCTCCCTAAGCTATACATGCCTTGGGGGGGGGGCATTTTTGGGAGGTTTGCAGAGTACAAAACCTTTTCCCCCCCTCTCTTCAAAACCTTGCTGCGTCTTATACTCTGGTGCGTCTTATACTTCTAAAAATACGGTAATTGTTCTTGCTGTCAGGAATTCCTTCTTATTTCTAAGTTGGATCTCTCCTTAGTAAGCTTTCATCTGTTGCTTCCAGCTCTGCCTTCCGGTGCTTTGCAATATATTTACTATAGCTTAGATGGTTATGGTTAAGCAAAACATTGTATTCGCATAATATATGAACTCAGTCCGGCTCTGATGGTGCCAAATTTAACATGTTGACTATATTATGTAGGAGGAAGCTCTTGGGCGTTATCTTTTCTGAATCCTCCCTTCAACTTAAATGTATTATCCCAGATTTTGGTGATGTAATGGAGCGTGTATAATTGTATAAGTCTATATTATATCTTCCCTTAGCTCCTCTTTTTCCTAAGCTGAGTTGCTCCAAATTTCACATTTCCTTCAAAGAGAATTGCCTTAGCTTCTTAATCATTCCATCCCCCTTTTTAAAAACTCTACAACACCCACTTTTCCCCACAAATGCGGAGATTAGATTGTAATTGTTCAACAAAGCAACAGGGGTGGGGAAATGGCATTTTAAACTCAGCATTAAATTTATCTTTACGACAACAATATGGGCTGGTATACCTTGTTTTTCATCAAATACCTATAGAAGCCTATCCACCACCCCCCAAGTAGGCTCATCCCAAATGTATCTGATTATCATTAGAGGTGGAGGAAAAAACCCTTAAAAAGATAAAGCCTCTTGAATCAAGTTTGACTTTCAGCTATTTCACCGGCACATCTGTACAATTTTCATGGAAACAGTCTGGAAGTGATTTGCCATTTTGCTGCAAATCTCACCTTCTCGTTCTGGGGAACTATAATCCATCCAAACGGACATGCGCGCTGCGCACACATGCGCACCCACTACCCTGTGATGCACCAGCTGCTCGGTGGAGCATGGCGCAGGTGCCGTATGCTGCGCGCACATGTGCAAATGGCCCGGTTAGCTCAAATAAAGGTAAGGAAGAAGGGAAGGTGGGCCCTCCAAAGCACTGTTCTGATACGGTGGCTGCTGCTCCCAGCAGCCACCGGTACACTTATAACGGGGTGTGCCGCCCGGNATCTATCTATCTATCTATCTATCTATCTATCTATCTATCTATCTATCTCTTCCATCCATCCATTTTATGGCAATGTTAAAAAGCACATCACAATTACACTCTCAATGATCAAATATGAAACTATTTACAGAATTTTTACAAATTCAAAGATAGACTATGTAAAAAACATCTAAAAACATAGGGAGAATTGCAAAAATTTAAAAAACCAGGAATGGAAACAAAGAAAAAAAAGTCATATATGAACCCAACCATCCACCCAGATGATGGAATGGAAAGCACTCTGCACGTTCTCAGGAACCCGCGTACCCTTGTCCTGCTTCCCAGGGATTTCTCCTCCCCACAGCCCAGCCCGGCCCACCCTTACAGCCGATGAGCCACCGAGCGGGCCAGCCTTCGCTCCGACCCCAAACCGCCCAGCAGCCCCGCCGCCATCGGTCCGTCCCGGAGCCCAAACGACGCGCGTCTCCACACGACCCAGAGCCCGGATCGCGTTCTGTGGTTTCCCTGACAACCTCTAGAGGAAGTGCCTCTCGGAGAACAGACGGCGGATTTCTCCAATCGAAGAAAGAATCCCATCCCGGGGGCGGTCCCTCACGAAGGCATAGAGACATAATATAGAGCGGCAGCTACATTTGTGGAGAGTCGAACGAGCTTCCCGCCGCGCCCCACCGTCTCGTAATCCATAATCACATATGGATTAAGGGCGTTTTACGTCAGCAGGGCGCCACAACAGGGTGGTGGCCGCAGGAGCCTCGTTACGTCATCAATCCACGCCAGGCAGCATGGCGAAGGCCGCGGCGGGCAGTGGCCTTCTGCTGGTCCGTGAGCATTACCTGCTCGGCGCCCGCTGGGAAGGTAGAGCGTTTGGCGGGATTAGCTCCCATTTCTTTCGGGATTCCCACGTGATTCTCCCAACCCTGCCCTTAGAACCCTCCCTCGGATGCCTCCTTCGCCCTCCCTGGATTAACTCCCCGATCGGGCGATTTCTTACTACGATTCCCAGAATTCCCGGCAGGCAGCCATCTTGGAAAGGGGCTTTGTTGCGGCCCGCTGGAGGAGGGGCCTTGGATAGAAGGATTAACAGGTGTCTAAGGAAGTGCCAGTATTGAGTTCACCCAGCACGACCCCCTATTGCTACTATTACTGTTCCTCCTACTAATAGTAGTAATATTACTACTATTAG